ACCAGGTATGCCAAAGAGGGCCGAGATTTGGAGGACGTGGAGATCAGTGCTTCCAGCATGGAGCCACTCTGTGGAAGTGTTTCCATGACAAGGGCGTGTCGCAACAAGGGCACCCTTTGGGACCCTGGGTGAATACGGGGATATATTGGGAGGTATAATTAAGGGTCCCTTTGAGGAGTATAAAGGCTGGAGAAACTCCGTCACAGTAGTGCCTTCTAACGGCCCGAAGCCTGGAAGAATCATCCTATGAATCCGTACTCCGGACTTGCCAGAGCCTCGAAATGATGACAGCGTAAATCTTAAACCCATCGAACTTAGCGCACAGCGCAGAGGGTGGAGGCGGCTTGAGACTCTATTGATACTCCCCAAGGTTTAGGTTACCTAGGGCAATGCAGGATTTTCAGTATCCACCGTTTCAATCGGAGATCTTTGCGCAGTTCCTCTGCTCCTGGCGAGGAATTGTGGCCGGGTGGGAAAACCCGACACCCGACCTGGCAGGTGGGGGCCACCTGGTTCACGGTTTAGGATTCTCGGTTTAGGGGTTTAGGTTTTAGGGTTTGTGGTTGGCATTGCAGCATGGTGGTTTCCATAGGTGGTCGCACCCCAATACAGGTCCCAAAAATTATAATCCTTCGACCAGGGGCCGCTGGTTTTTTTGCAATCCCCACATGTTCTTTGACCATCAAAATTATGTGTAATTTCCACGCATGAGGACCCTTACAAGATGTATGGGCCTGAGCATTCAGAGGTGTATTAGAGGTTTCCTATAGCATCATGAGATAAAGCATCTAGGACCATGATTTGCTTACTGGTTCTTAGCAGGGAATATATATTTATATATATATATAAGTTAAGGGAACATACTCCTCATATAACCTTATATACTACATTTTCTTATTCCATACAAAGAACCAGTAAGTATTGAGGGCTAAGGGTTCAGGCATGAAGGTTTGGGGACGTCAAGCTTCCGTGGCAGACCTGAAGGCACATGCCTACATCGCCGACATCCTTGCGCACTGGTGCCGCTGGGCCAAACTTCAAATTCAAGATTGTGGTTTCTCCCGATGTTGGGGGCTTTACACCCTCTTGGGTCGGTCCTTGTTTCTATACTATAGGGTATCCCAAAAGGCCCATAGTTTAGAACACCCCCCCCCAAACTGTAATCAGTATAGAAAGAGGGATCCTAGAATGGCTGATGATCCTATACATATTCCTGGAGTGTGACAGGCCATCCGAGCGTGGTTTCCGTTTTATGGATTGCTGTAATAATGCAAGTCCCTATAGACATCTCCTGCCTTTTGGGAACAGCAGTTTTCTACAAGCCCTCCGCGAGAAGCATATTCTGTTGTAGTACCCTGAACCCGGTTTAGGATCCTCCCATTCCGGACCGCTGAGGTAACAAGCATTTAGAAAAGCTTGAGACGTTGCCCGATGAGGACTGGACCTGTCTACTACAGGGGCCACGGTAATGAAGGGGTTCTAAACGGTTTTCCTGATTTAGTAGGATTTGGGGGGTTGCACGGAGGTATGGGCCCCAATAATGGAGACTCAAATGGAAAGGACATAGGACAATGAAATGGACTCTGGGTTTATAAAGTGTTTATGAGGACCCCGGAAAGGCCTGAATACTTTGGAGGCTTATTCGAGGATTCTTTGCTAGAAATGGAAAATTAACGCGGCCAGTCCCACTCGCCCCACTCGGCCCACTCGCCCCACTCGCCCCCGCTCGCCCCACTCGCCCCACTTGCCCCACTCGCCCCACTCGCTCCACTCGGTTCGGGGCAAGTGGGGCAAGTGGGTCAAGTCGGTCAAGTGGGGCAAGTGGGTCAAGTGGGGCAAGGGGGGCAGGCAAGTGGGGCAGGAGTTCACTTTCTTTCCATTGCGACCGCAGAGGGGAAAATTAATGCGGCCCGTCCCACTCGCCCCACTCGCTTGCCCCACTCGCCCCACTCGTTCCACTCGGTTCGGGGCAAGTGGGGCAAGTGTGTCAAGTGGGTCAAGTGGGGCAAGTGGGTCAAGTCAGGCAAGTGGGGCAAGTGGGGCAAGTGGGGCAAGTGGGTCAAGTGGGTCAAGTGGGGCAAAGGGGGGGAAGTGGGGCAAGGGGCGCAGACCCATCAATCCCCCCCAACACCGACATTCTCAATTATTTTGTCACTTGTCGAGGTCCCTGGATTGGTGGAGTGCAGCCTAGAGTTATATGGGGAATGGAGAAGAAAATGGAAAAGGCTGTATGGTTTGGATTAGAACACAAGAAAATACCATCATGAAGAATCAATGCGAAAGAAGATGGAGCGTGCAATGACAACTGGGGTTTAAGGGTTGGGGCCTGCATGGCCCAAAGTATACTACGCTGCCATGAAATGAGTTGGGCCATGCAGGGATTTGGCCGGTTTTGGCATGAACTTGTGGTGGCTAGTGAGATTCTGAACCGCTACCATACAGAGAGGGCTCTGAACCCTAGACCCTGGAGAGGGCCCCCAACCCTAAACTCCTAAACCCTTTGCTGAAGCTTCCTTGCACTTGTCGTTGCCGCTTCGGGTAACTTCTGATTGCAGCAGGATTTTGGGATGCATCCTCACGAGCTCTTTGTACTGCGTTTTCTGGGGCCCGAATGCAGGGGATTTAGTAAATGGAGTAAATGGAGATGACTGGGGTTACAACACGGCCTTGCTGGGGTTATATGTATACCTACTGAGTGCCCATGACCCTCCAAGTAGGATTTTGCCCTCCAAGGCAGCAGGATATGATTAGGACATGGGAAGCTCAGTCGCTCTCAGAGGTGATCTCCCCAATGCTCACATCGAATCCCAACAAGAGCCTTTAGAGACAATAACTGGGATTCCATGTCAGTTATGATCTCCCGTGTGCTGTGGGGCAAGTCAGAAGCCCCCCCCCGCCATTTTCAAATCTAGTTGCTCAAGGATTCTTACTAGAGCGTGCCCTGACTCGTCCCTCAGCCAAAAACTCTGAAACTTAGACCCAAGCAACAGTCCCCAAGCCCCAAACACTCAATCAAGCTTATACCCTGAAGCCCTAAGCTCCAAATCCTTCACCCTGGACCATTCACCCTAGACCCGAAGTAACCTAAACAGCCCCAAAGTCTCCAATCCCCTAGACCTGAAAGAGAAGGAACTCCGAAGGATGGGTAGCCTTGGGAATAATTCTACATTGCTATGGACCATAATCCTTAATCTCTATGAATTACATTTGTATATCCTTAAGCCCTAAACCCCAAACCCTAAATCCTAAACCCTAAATCCTAAACCCTAAACCCTGAAGACTAAACCTGTCCCAGAGGAGATTCTGCGGCTCCAGGGCTCAGACCTCTATCCCCAGCATCGGCTGCTTGGGCACAAAAGCCTTAGAATGGGATTAAGAGTTTAGGGACTAGGGTTTAGGGATTAGGGTTTAGGGTTTGGGATTTAGGATTTAGGCTTCAGGGTTGAGGTTTAGGGTTGCGCAGCGAATACTGGGTCTTACTTGAAAAGTCAGCCGATAGTGTTTATGAACGGAATCCATGCAACGACAATAATGAAAACCCAGACAGTGTCCTGAAGTGCCACCCAATATTGTATTTATGTGTTTCTGTGCTTATGGGAAACTCCCTATGTAACGCTGAAGGGCGACTCGTAGTCTGGGATGCTAGGGCCGGCAGGAGGAAACTCATGCTTTCTGGGGGTTAGTGGGGAATGAGGGAACCCTAAACCCTAAACCCTTTTATATTCCTTTATTCCTTACTAACTACCAGAGATAGGAAGGAGATAATCAAGGCTGCCTAAACCCAGAATATGGGGATTATTATAGAAACATAAAGGATTTAGGGTTTGGGGGTGAGAGCTTGGGGTTTAGGTTTAGGGTTGATGGCTTGCATGGGGCTTCGGAGGAATTTCTAGGCATTACATAACAATTATGCCTTGCACTTTTGAAAGGATACTCCTGGATAGTTAGGTTTTGGTGAGATGTTGGATTCTGGGTTGTATCCTGAGTCGGCGGCGGTGACACTTTGTAGGAATATTGGCCTTGAACTCCAAAATAATGGGTAGAAAGGCCATGAAAGGGGTTATTTTGGGAGGTCTAGGGTATTCTGGATTCCCCGAGCCTACGAATCTACCTTAATTACTGCTTTGTGTGGATGCAGCTTTGGGTAGTTTCCTCCACATAACCCCTAAATGGCCTTTCCATGCCCCCAAGCCCCCAAAAGCACCTTCCCAAAAGGACAGTACCCTGCTCATGTTCCGTGTTAGCTCGGGAGATGGTAGGCCTGCACATGTTGGACGAAGGAGAGATACTGTAGTTCCCCTAAATAGGGAGACCCCAATATAGACCCCAATTTAGGGTTTAGGGCTTAGGGACCCCAATATACGATACCTCCCATTATGGGGACCCCCAACAAGGTACCGCTAATTTTGGGAAACCCACCGCGTGTTTTCAGCAGCCAAAGGACCCCTGCTGCTGACCTGCAGGACCGAATCTGGGTTCTGCCAGTGGATTTGAGGGGTAAGCATTCAGGAGATCCTTTGTGAAGTCCAAGGGCCAGGGTGGAATCTGGGTTCTTGTTGAACACAAAATTTTTTATTTGTATATACCTGGGCCCAATATAGATCAAAAATGATCATTTTCATAGTATCTTAACAAGAATTCAGGAATGTTTAAGTTAGGGTTCAGGGTCAACCCAGGGATGCCCCAACCTTCACCTACAGTTGAGGGTTATCTTTAATCTGCAACAGTGAGTACGCATGCCCCGCCATGTTTTTGCTGTCTTTCTAGTGGTTTGAGGGTGATGGCTTCTAATGGGTTGTATCCGGACCTCCCCAAATCGTATATTGCGCTTGAAGGTCTAGTAAGGTCGACACGCCTAAACCCCCCCTCTTCAACTCTAAACCCCAAACTCTGAGCCCTACCTTACCTGTTTAAACGCGAAACCCTGAACCCCAAGCCCAAACCTTAAGCCCTAAACCCCAACCCTTACCCCAAAACCCTTGGGCCCACTCTGCATGGAGGATGACCGATCCTGGGTACAGCCCATACTCAAGGCTGACCTTGCGACTGTCCCGCAAAGAGGATCCAGGGCACCTCCTCCCACTGTTGGGGTTTGGGGTTTGTAGGTTTCCCCCAAAAAATAGGTACACCTAGAATCCTCATTTTATTTGGGGTCCTTAAGGTTTTGAGAAATCCCGATATGGGAGTTTTTCAACATTGGAGTACCTTGGGCACCCTGAAGGTATATGGGAATTTTTGACCTTTGATCCTGCCCCAATCACTGGTGATTAGCCAGGATTGTCGGAGTGGATTCTTGTCATAACTCTTATAGACTTTCCGTTGCCTGCGAGGAGTTTAAGTTCTGTTGCCAGAGTTTTGATATGTAAATTTTGTTGATAAAAAGTGGCTTTCTTTATAATGCTAACTTGACTAGAGTTCCTTAACAGCAAGCCAGAAAGCCCCCATCATGGGCCCTACACTCACTGCCTCCTCCCATTTAGCACCACTAGCCGAATGCCAAACTGGATCGATGGCAGCTGAAATTCCTACCGGAACCGAAATTCCACTTGCTATCACCCATCTTGTCGTTGAAGGGTCCATGTATACCCTCGATTTTGAAAGTACCCATGAACCTCCTAGACCCTAAGCCCCGAAGCCAAAACGGCATGTTGGTGCAAGTCTGAAGAGCGCAAGCTTTCTCGGCACTCTCATGTCACCCGGGCTCGCCATGGGTACGCGCATTTTCAAGAAATTCCCGTAGCCCCAAAATTCCAAAACCTGCTCCCTGAACCCCAAATGCTACAATGTGATCCCCAACCAGGACTCCCCCCCATATCTCCTTACACTCCCAAGACATCCATGGTGTCCTCAAGGGCCCACCATTCTGAGAACCACTGTGCTTGCCCAGGAGGCAGCACCTGTTTGCCTCTTCCCGCTGACGCAGCATGTAGCTCGATCACCCGGGCCCAGCACGCTGGCCACACATGGTTCAGGGTTCAGATTGTAGGGTTTCATAGCATGCATATATAGGCACCCTGACATAATCATGCATATCCCTTGCGGTGACTTCTTGTTGAATAAGGGTCCTCCAAGCATCACTTAAGTACCCCTGAATGCCTGAACTAAACCTACAACAGCCCTCTTTGCGACTCAAGGCGTGTTTTGGGGGTTAGGGGTGAGGGACTGTAGCGCAGAAGAAGCCTGAAGACTTACTCATGTTGTTCCTTTCTAGAACTCATAGAACGTAGTGTTATAATCCCCCTTAAGTAGAGCGAATATGGCTTGGGGTATATTATAGTAAGATCCCCATATACCCCAGATTCTATCTACTTGAGGGGGACCATATATATATATATATATGTATATCACATAGCCTGAAGCCCTAGTCTGATTATTGAGGGAATTATATGAAGTGTTGTCGGACTTGTGGCCGTAAAGCTGCAAGACTCCAGGCCTTTTCGACCGCACAGCTTGGAGCTTAACACCCACCGATTCCCTGACTCCTGCCATGCAATGATATGGTACATGGTATGCAATATTCATAGGTTAGAGGGCTTGGGATTCCGAAATGTTAGACTTTCTTCCGACAATATAATGATATCACATGAGGCATATTCATTGTTAAGAAGGTTGTATTACTAGGAGAGGGGTTGAAGCTTTGACTTCTGATCCATAGTTAGTTTGTACAGTAAAAGTCGCAAGCCCCAATACCCAAGCCTGAGGCTCTAAGCTCCGCACCTTCACCTGCAAACACTCCGAACCTTTTCAACAAACTCCCCAGGCACAATTCCCAAACCAACATGGAAGCCCAAAACAGCCCTGTACAACATATTACCCCGTCAGTTTTTCTCTCCAAGGGGTTGAGAAGCCAACGCTCCTAAAACCTAAGCTCCATATCCTGAACCCTACACCCAAACCTTTCCCAAAATAGATACTGAAACCCTCAAATAGGGACTCTCAAGAAGGTACCCCTAATCTCTGAACCCCTAGACCACCTTCATCCCTAAACCCTATCTTATCCCCTATATCCCCTTCAAAGGTACCCCTGATTTTGGGAAACCCATAAATGACCCCTAAACCCTAAACCCTGCAAAAAACACCCTAAACCCTATAGGGGGTAATATCCGGAGTAATTTTGGGAACCTCTCAAATAGCACCAATAAATCGAAGGCTCGCCGCGACAGAGCCCCCAGGGTCACTGGAGCCTCTTTGAGGATCGGCGGAACAAGCCAGGCCTAGCGCATAGCGATAAGGGGTTTGGGGTTTAGGATTTGGGGTTTAGGATTTGGGGTTTAGGGTTTGGGGTTCAGGGTTTAGGGTTTAGGGTTTAGGGGTAATAGTAGGTAATAGTAGGTAACGACAGGTAATAGTAGGTAATAACAGCTGTGGTAGGTTTCTGATGGTAATCGTAGGTGTTTATAGGTAATGGTAAAGAAAAAATTGGATAAGAACCGTCAGAATAAAAAGGGATTCAGTGAGGTTTAGGTTACTTAGGAGGCATATAGGGACATATAGTGGCAAATGAGGCTATGTAGGGATATAGAGGGTAGGAGGGATATGTAGGGATACATACGGTTTAGTGTTTAGGGTTTAGGGAAAAGAGTGTAGGGTTCAGGGTACAGGATGCTTGGTGGGCTTAGGAGCGAAGGGCATAGGGTTTAGGTTTTTTTTAGGGTTTAGGGTTTAGGGTTTTGATGCTTCTGGTGAAATTTGAAAATAGGGGCTCTCCGTAGCCCCTGCCGGCTTGTTGGAGACAGCACGTGTTATATGTCTTGAGAGACCAACACATGACGCGACTCTTAGCACAAAACCACATAGTTCGTCCGAGCTAACCCCGAAACCGAATCAACCCAAAGCCCCCGAATCATGAAGTGCCCAAACTCTAACCAGAATGTTGAGACGATGAAGACTGAACAGGGGTTTGGATTATACAGGGATTATATACAGGTTCTATAGGGATAATGGAAAAGAAAATGGAAACTACTATTTAGGGTTTAGGGCTTAGGGACCCTGTTCCTTAGCTTGCTTGTTTTCTTGTGGCGTGTTGAGAGCTCCCGGATTCCCTCGGGGAAGCAGGTACTTGTTGATGTAAGGCTTGCCGTGAGGGACAGGTACTGTAGAGACCAAAAGGATCTTCAGTACCATGTTGAGGTAGATTTCAGGGACCCGATAGATTATGGCTTTGGGTATATTACAATAAGATCCCCTATACCCCATATTCTAGCTGCTTAAGGGGGGCTATAGTCATTATTCAGACAGATACTGGTAGCTTCCTTAAGCCGGTCCCAGATGCTCATGCCTTAAGACGGGGAAAGCTAGCACGACCTCACCCTACCTCACCCTTGCATGGTAGTGAACATAGAAAACAGGCCCCAATACTGGGCTTAGTCTCAGGTTCTGAAACTGACATGAAAGAATGCTAGTAATTGTAGTGATACTAGTAATAGTGGTCATAATAGCAATAGTAGTAATAATAGTTAGATCGGAAATAACAGTATTGATGATAGCAACAGGAGTAATAACAGCACAGTACTTCTACCTAAAAACGCCAGCTGGAGGGCTCGTCAAATCGTTTAGCAAGGCTGCCATTGCTGGCCTTTTGCCAGAGTTCAAGCATATTTGTGGACAGATTCTTGCCCCATTGCAAGAAGTATAGTATTTTCAGTAGCACCTGTTGTGACAATAACGGTAAATCATATTAGCAGCAATAGTACTTCAGGGTCTTAGGAATGAAACGCTTGACCTGCCGCATTCATGAATCAATGAACCACTCGGACTACTGCCATAAGGGCTACATCAGCAGTACGCTTGCGCTCGATATGCTAGGTTTTGCAACTTTCAGAAGAAGGGCACATACCTCTGACCCTGCTTAGACGTGTGGGCTGCTTGACATGGTCATTCATGGATGTCAAAACGAGACTCCTTCCCCTGCCCCAACCGAGCGTGAAGCCCCCAAAAATGCCCTCCTTGGACTGCTGCCTCTTTGGGAGGGGCTTATGTGGGAGTTTCCACGAATCAGGGGCCCCATGCAGACCCCAATATATTATATTCCTTATTATTTGATGTAGCCCATCAACCATCTATCGCCTGTGACCCCCGAAGAAGATGGTCTGCATGTTGTTAACTTTTAAGCTAGTTGTGCTTATGGTGGGGGTGGGGGGTGAATATAGGCAAACTTCTAGGGGTACATATATATATATATACATATATCTACATACATGTACACATGGTGATTATGTAGGGATGTGTATAGGTGTCCACTCCCTAAACCATCAACCTTGAACCCTAAATCCTAAACCCTAAATCCTGAACCCTAAATCCTAAATCATAAATCCTCTAAGCCTCAGCTCCTGCCAGGGTGGATCTGCAACACCACGAACGGCGAGGAGATCATTTTCGACTTGAACTTCAGTGCCAAACCCATGTGCCCCAGCATGATATATGAGCTGTAGTCTACATTTCTTAAAAGGGGGCTATATACAGGACTACGCCTACTGTAGGGCTGAGAAGGGGGATGCTGGGAGTTTAAGTTTTCGATAAACCCGCATCAAGAATAAAAGTAGTTGAAATACTTACAATCAAAGAGAAACCTAAGCGTACCCTCCCATACAGACAAATGGAACTACATAGTAATAAGAATGATAGAGCTAATAGCAAATTTAGTACTACTAGTAGTAGTAATACTAATAGAAATAATAGTAGTATGGATATTTGGCTGGAGGTTCCCCGTGTGGCTGGAAGGCCCCAAGAAACCCAGGCATGTAGGATCCAGGCAAGGCTCCAGGGCATTTAGATGAGTCGAAGGAACGTAGCAGATGTGCGACCTTTTGACATGAGATTTCTTGTTTAGAAGTTTGGAAAGGCAGCCAGGCTCGTTATCTGTCATGTTTTTTGTAGTTTGCAAAGACAAAAGCCAAACAACTACAAAGCCAGCAATCGTCACAGATTCAGGATAATGGTGCAATACCTACGTTCCTACGCGAACATCGGCGATGCGAACGTCACGGTGTACAGCCCCTGGATTTGGAAGTCTACGTCCTACAAGAACCTTCGAGGCAAGGGAGTGAAAACGGGTTTCTTTAGGGTTCAGGGTTCAGAGCTTATGTTTTCAAGTTCAGGGTGTAGGTTTTACTTTAGGGATTGGGTAGACTCCTGGAAGGACCCCCATTCATACGTCCATACTGACTCTAAAAAAAACCTTCAAATTCATACGATTCTGGTGTTCCAGCTAGGACTCTGTGCTCAGACTTCTCTAGTCTGCACACCCCCAGACCCAAAACTCGAAACTGCAAACTTACAACCTGTAGCCTTCGGTTTGCTGCATTCTGAGCCCCAAGCGAGATACGCGTTTGCAAAGACAGGGGGACCCCAATCCAAAACGGATTATACTATAAGTGTTAGTGCAGGGGCCCTCAAAAGGGAATTCTGATGTATCGAAGCTCCCAGATGAGCTAAGCATCGCTGGCAGTTTAGAACGCCCAACCCTTTAAAGTTCAAGCACTTGGCCCCGACCCTGAGACAGTCATTTCATAAGGTAATCGATACTTAAATCTCATCCCTGAAGCCCTCACACTACTGCTACTACCGTTGCCAGTAGAGTTACTATTAGTATAGTATGATGATGATGATGATGAAAATTCTTTTTGTTGACTTTTTCAAGTTTCTATCTCATTTGTTTGTTTTCTCGGCTTCCCGGAGGCCACCACTGGCGCAGCTCAGCAGCCATGGCTGGTGTGTGATTGACCTTAGGGGTTAAGATTTAGGGTTAGAGTTCTGAAAGCAGGAAGATGAAAATACGACTATTCTGACCCTAAGCCCTAAACAGTAGTTTCCATTTTCTTTTCCAATATGGCAATAACCCCCATAATGTACCCTAACATTCTTTTGTGTTAGTATCCGTTGCTCGATGACTGCATCATGCATGGCTCGGCACATGGGTCGGGCGGAGTGAAAGACCTGCATGATATAACCACTATAGAACCCTAATATATACACTATAATGTGTTTAGGGTTTAGGTTTAGGGTTTAAGGTTTAGGGAACTCCAATATATACACTATTATCATATAGTAGTTTCCATGTTCTTTCCCTTATCCCTGTATATAACCCCGATGATGATTGTCGCCCATTTGTTCAACACATTGACATGGCTTTCTGTTCAAGATCTGCAAAACCGATCCCTGCTTTGGCGGAACGGTTTAATGAGCTGCAGATACAATGGTTGTGAGAAAGAAGCTTCATCCGCGGCTGCGTGCCCATTTCAACCAATACATCAACCTCACCAATGACAGCAAGGTCCCGCTTACCATGTGCCTAGGTATACCATTTGTAGGAGAACACCCAGGTTATGAGCGGATAGGAACTTACATCCCCTGTGCATAGTTACCATCATAGATAAAATCAGTGTTTGGTACGATGCCTATCTGCTCATTTACTACAATCTTTGGGGCGGACTTCACCTCCTTTGGGCAGCTGTGGGCTCTTCTTGCACTGAGTGCAGATCCCAAGGCCTTGCGCCTGAAACAGACAGAAGCCCTTCCTGCTGAACCTAAGCTTGCGGTTCACGAAATTATGAAGCACGTGAAGGCCTTCTGCCATTAACCTGAAACTTTTTGCTCGCTGGATCCTAAACTTGCAAGTTGAAATCCTAGCTGGTCTGCCTCAAAAGGGCCCTTCGCTCAGGAATGAATGCGCCATGGGCTGAGAGGATATCCGTCACGCAGAGACACGGCTCGTGAATCTTCTTTGGGGAATGTGGAAGAATGCTCCGAGAAATGCCGTCGTCACAACTTGTTTGGATGTAGATGTGGCGTAAGGGGCTTCATGCAGTACCGCGGATTCTTGTGAGGTACCATGGTACTCAGTCAAGTTTGGCCATCTTTCTTGAGTTTCACGTGGGATTTTTAAAGCCCAGGTGGCAGGTACAAGATTCCAAGTATCCATTTGCGGACTTGCTAATGCCCAGTTCTCGTGAACCAGAACTACGCTGTTCTGTCTGAATAACTGCTTGCATTGTTCCAGTATAATCTTGTAAGCCTACAGCAGTATACTCCAACTTTTTATGGCAATAATTTTGGTTCGCATGCCAGTTGAGTAGGGCTGGCATCCCGTTCTGTGCAGATGCTTCCACAGATCCGCTTCCCCATCCCAATACTTCGCAATCTATAGTATAGGGGTACCCTTGGCAAGCTAATGCCCTCGAACTCGTTGAGAATAAGAAGCAAGACGTTTGACGACAAAGGTTCATCGGTCGATGTAAGTGGAGTTTTTGTAGTAGGGCAACTCTGGTCCTCAATTGATTAGCCTGACATGTAGAAGTCTAGCAGACGCCTAGACCCCCCATGTACCCTCTATACGGATTTTGAGGGTAATTTCTGCAGCCCGCTAAAGAATGAAACTTGGCAGAGCTGCAACAAGGAACGCCTTCTTCAGGGCCGTCAAGCAGTCAAGTGGTCTGGGCGGAAGTCCGGACAGACCCTTGATTGTCATTCTAGGGTTTAGGGGTTTTGGGTTCTGGATTTAGGGGTTTTGGGTTTAGGGTTTAGGGTCTCTTATTGTTTAACAGTGTGCTTTTAACCTTTGACAGGCAACAGGGCTTTAGTAAACATGGAGACATCCTTCGTGCGGAGTGACATCGTTTGCTGGACACTCCTGCAGCTAGGTTGGCCAAGGAGCGCAAGAATTTGATGTTGTCCAAGATATCTTTCAGTGACTGTTTGCGACTTCTGCTCGGATGTGGGTGTGGAACTACAGGCTGCGTGGCCTCTTTTGTTGTTTGGCGCGAGAGGACCCCTTGGGCATGCACTCATGTGGATGGATGCCACTGACAATGAGGACAAAGTTGAACAAAAGTAGAAGACTTCATGTTGGTGGTCACAGTGGTCATGGTGCTGGAAGTGGTGGCAGCAAGAGTGGTACCAAATAATGATAGCGATTAGTGTAAGCACCTCCCCAGACCCGCTAAAGATCCCTAAAGGATCTAAAAGATGGAACCCCCCAAAACGACCCCTACATTAGCGAAACTAGAGAATATTGCGAGGTTCCATTTTTTGAGATCTTTTTAGGGGTTCTGGGTTAGCAAAGGTGGGCGGATCTCTTTCCGGCTAGTGCCTGGGCATGAGTTTGTCCATCGGCTTCCTGGTTATATTGCCCCGATCTATACCCTATTATAATATAGTAGTTTCCATTTTCTTTTCCATTATCCCAATATAACCCCAATATAAACCCTAATATATACCCTATTATAGTAGTTTCCATTGGATGCTCTGTCTGTTCAGGCTCAATGTAGAAGCCTGAAGAATTTTCAGTGCTATCTCCTTATGGGCCTCATATGAGCTATAGTCTAAACTCCATAGTTTAGGGTTTAGGGTTTAGGGTTTAGGGGGGTTCTTTTGGGGATCATATAGGAGACTACTATAGGGGTTACTCAGGGAGATACTAGGGGTTTAGACTACAGTTCATATCAGTATACCATAATCTGCCCCAAAGCCCCTACATTCAATCCCGATAATTATTCTCAGGATATCCATGCCATTTTCCGTTTTATACAGTACTCGCGGTATACAAGTGGAACCCCCATTTTGAAGCCTCAAACCCTAAGCCCCATATCAGTTTGACTGGATCCCTGAACTCTTTGCAATGGCAAGAGTACCAGGATTTTAGGGTTGAGGGTTTAGGGCGTAAGGTTGCGCACGCAAGTTGTTTACAACTAGACAGGGAGAACTTGAGCTACTGGTAATGTCTGGTAGTCTCTTCTGATCACCATGATGAAGAACAGTTGTGTTTCCTAACTTGCAAACCTAGCCCTAAATCCAGTGTCGCTATATCTTCCGAGTTTCCCTACCATTTTCAATTTTGACTCTCCATTATACCCCAAGGCCCCATATACTAACTACATCAACCCTATGAACACTCCATGCCCCCGATATATGCCAAATATTCTAGGTTTTCTACCTAAGCCCCATGTAATCCCAATATACCCACTACCTTGGGTACTGCTCCCACCCATTAACCGCAGGATAATATTTATGTGCCCTATAATTGCATAGAGCCCTTAATATGACCCTGTTATAGACTGCTAATGGGGGTAGGGCCCAACCTATACCTTAAACCCTAAATCCTAAACCCCAAGCCCTAAACCCTTATCCCTAAACCCTAAACCCAAATTCGTAACCCCTTAACCCTAAACTTTAAATCCTAAAGCCTAGGTCCCAACCAATATCATACATCCAGCCAAGGTGAAGGGGCCAAAGTTCAAGATCCTCTCAGTGATCTCCTGCTGAGTGGCTGGGTTTAGGGGTTTAGGGGTTCAGGGTTCAGGGTGTAGGATTTAGGAGGGTTTAGGTTGTAGAGTTTAGGGGTTCGGGTTTAGGGTTTAGGGCATTGCTGCCATGTAGCCTCGAAGCAGGGATAAAGCTGCTGTGGCCTGATGGTGGTCGGCCATCTCACTCCATCACCCACCCCCAAACTGCTGGAGGCCGCCAAGTCACCCAAACTCATGCACCCGGTAACTGTCTGTGGGTTGGGCTTTTTAGTTTTTTTGTTTTTTTGCTTGCGCAGCCTTTCAAAAACCTATGCATTCTAGGTCTCAGGACCAGGGCCATCTTAGTCAACACCATCTTTACTTTTCCACAGCCAGCCTTTTGCTCGCTTTTTTCTTCTAAGGCCGAGCTTGAGATAGGTGGTTGGAATGAGGCCCTGCTGACAACCTGGGTTGAACCCTGAAAGACTGTTGGCCCTGCGGGGTGCAATGCAAGCCTTGAAACAAGGTCGGAACCATGTCAAAACCGTTCGGAGGTCTGGGAGGCCGCCTGTACGGGTTCCGGTGTTTGAAATCCTCTCCTGCCGAGCCTGGGAATGCTCACAGAAAAACCAGCCAGCCATCTCCCGAGATTTGCCATTACAGGCTGCACGGAAGAGGGAATGGCAGGGGGCCTAACGTGGGTGCTACTGCCGACATGGCTGTGGGAGGCAAGCGATCGTCTTGGGTGGACCTTTGCCATTGAGGTGGAAGGGCATTCGCGCCGCCCACCATCGTAGGTAGGCAGCCTAAGCCCTTGAGTTGAGTAATGCTCACAATGGGAACAGAAGAAGGCTTTTGAAGAGTTTGCTCATGACTTCTTACCCTGGTTCACTTTATTCCCTCCCCTTCTGCAACAAACCAATAATCACTAGCCACTCTCTACTTGGCGGATATGCTATAGAGAACGGTTATGAAAATTGGGAAGCTCACGGATAGCGATACGTGGGGTGAGTCTTGTGGCTGTACTTGCAAGCATTGGAGATGCCCAGTATGCCATCACTGCACATGTATAAACCTAGGTGGGTGGGGTTGCGTTGTTATTGGTCAGGAGTAGGTGAGCATGCAGCGAAAGCGTCAAAAAACCGAGTGAAACAGTTTGCAGATTGACCGAGATTACATTGGATATGATAGGGGTTGTTTTGGCAAATGTATTAGTGGTTTGCCGCCTCGGGATATACTATTTTGAGGGCGAGCGGCTTAGCAGCAGGAGACTGCAGGTAAGGGTTTTGGGCTAACCGTTAACCAAGGTGGAGTGGCAAATTAGAGATCATGGTGCTGCCCCTTAAAGATCCCTTCTCAGAGTCCGCTTTGAACGGCTGTCATCTTCAATGATGGGTACACGCCCTCTTTTGAAACATAGCAATGCTGCTGGCTTTTGCAGTGTAGGCCAGCTGATTCGTGTCAGTGTAGCTTAGCGATTTAGTGATCTAGGATTTAGCGTGCCAGTTTTTGCTAGGTTCTTGAGGTTCTTGAATCCTCATGCAATCATCATTGCAGGCAGAGTGTTTCCTGCGAGGCCATTTGCAGGCGTAGATTTGGAAACCAGCGTCTCTTTTCAAGGTTCCTGCGCAAATCCAACGAGGCGGAATCCCAATTGGATCGCAAAAGTGGGTATTGTCCAATATGTCCAATCTAGATAGGTTCCAAAAATGCGCAGCATTTTTGTACCCAAGCTTCCAGCAACTTTGCAAGGCCTCTTTCTAAACTTCTTGATGCAGATACCTGCTTGCACATTTGGCTCTTTTGCAGCCTTGTAAAAGACGTTTGACATGGCATGCTCTGCACCGGCAGCAGCAGACATCTGTTCCCACTGCTCAGGGGTTCTAGTTCCCAGTTTCAAAAAACCTTTGAACGCAGTGCCATGATGCGGCCACCATGCCGCAGAAGTCGATGCGCTGGGGCCTTGTGAGTCGCTACTTTGCTCTTGAAAGGGCAGATGCCTTACAACCTGCCGCCGACTTGCTCGTGCTTGAAGGAGTGTGGGGGAGTGGATCTCTAGAACAATCCCCATACAATCCTGTGTAGTAATTAGTATCCATCTTCCCTCCCACAGTTCCCAAACACCAGCAAACTGAGGGCTGTTGATTGAGGCATGGAGAGCTGTGGGGTTGGGCTTTAAGCTTCAGGTTCTGAACACGTTTGGACCATCTTGGCACGTTTATTCAAAGGCGGAGTACTGGCACCTCCGGGCTCAACCTTCTCACCATCATTGAGATCTACAGGTTGTCATACTTGCGGTCTTGTTTTGCCGCACCGTGAATTTTAGGGGGACCACAGTTTTGGCAACTTATCTGATAGAGTGAAACATGTTGCTTGCGACGCGTAGAAGTTCACTGCCTAGGTGGACCCCCCCCCCTCGCCTTGTAATATACACGATAATACAGAATATTTTATGGTGCTCTATATGCCTATTGTACCATTATTACAGGGTGGGGGGTCCTCCTAAGTCATCTCCATTTCGAGATGGCAAGCCATTGAAGGCAGAGAAGGCCATACCTTCTGCGTCGCTCTGGAGCATCTCATCTAAAGCCGACTCCCCATAATCTTCAAGAACAACCGTAGCAACAGCAATAGGAATAGTGGAAGTTGCTACTAAATATTGTGAGTTATGGTCAACAGAGTATTAGAAGCAGTACAACCTTCCTTCCCTTTCAGCACAAGAGGGCGAGGGAACAACAGAAGAAACAATCCGCTCAGGTGGCATGGTTGGCTTTTGTTGTCTGCTCGTTGTGCCTTGCACCGCAAGGACGTGGTGAGCTCAGCCATCGCAATGTGGGGATCATATGGTCTTGTGTATCCTTCAGAGCAGTGACCGGGGCCCAGGGTAACCCCTACAATCAGAAGAAGCCTCCTGGGGTGCTTAAGCTGGAACGTAGCCTATGATAGTTTCTGGTTTGGCCGGGGAGGCCACTTTTGCGTGTTACGTGGAAACAATGGCCGTTGGCAGTTGCAAGAGGAAAGCCGTTGTTGCATGCAGATGTTAGAGCTTGGTAGAGATACTCTTACAGATTGATGAAGTATTTCCCTCAGTCTGGGCACCTATCGTTCAGATCATAAAAGGGACGTTGTTTCAACGGCTTTGCTCCGAGTAAGCAGGCGTACATTCATCCAGGCCTGAAGTTGGTGGAGCCTGCCGGCGTTCGGCCAAGCTTCCACCATTTCGGGCAAGGCCATGAGAGAACCCAAAGCCAAAGGCACGTGTTCCAAGACGACATCGCGACAGCCACCTGGCGCTGAGCCAGGTCGCCAGCAGATGCAGGCCGATGCAGGTACATGTAGGCGTTGGGTAGATAGCCTGCTCCTGCAGACCTGGCTTGCGTTCTTGCCAAATGCTTACAACTCAAGATTGCATCCTGATTTGCAGGGGTCCTTTATTGCGGAGCCCTGGTGTTAAGGCAAAAGCAGACCCACCCAGGCCTGCTAGCAGGGGAAACCATGGAGCCCTGGCACGCTGAGTGAGATATTTAGCTTACTGGGTCTTAGTAGGGAATAAGTCCCTCAATAATCCCTAGATTGCATATATCATACATTCCTATATTATGCCTACATTATATATTACCCTATTCCCTACTAAGAACCAGCAAGTTAATCATCCTGGCAGTCTTTCTGCCGTCTTTGTGCAAGTCTCTGACGAACATCAACATTGGAGGCTTCTCCGGAAAATAAACCGTAAACCCATAACCCTTGAACCCTGAATCCTAAACCCTTAAACCGTAAACAGCAGGATCATGCATCCTGACGCAAGGCAGGAAATCAACTTTCGATTAAGAGACCCTTGTGTTGGTGGAACCCTGAAGTCAAAGAACACCTAAGCTGCTAAAGCCTAGCCCTGAACGCCCAAAACGAAAATCCCAACCCCCACAAACTCTAAACCTACCCTACTAGAACCTCAATAGATGCGCCATTATGCTGTAGTAGTTTCCTTTTCCATTCTCCCTATACAATCCCTCGTGCCCTCAATCTGCATAGACCTGCTTACAGCCTACATAGGGGTTATATAAGGGTTGTGTAGGGGCTCATGGAAAAGAGCGTGGAAACTACTATGCTGGGTTTATATAGGGTTTAGGGTTTTGGGCCTAGAGCCTAAACTCTAAACCCTCAACCCTATACTCCCCTTATGCCCTAAATCTGCATACACCCGCCTAGAGCCCCCAAACCCTAAACCCTAAACCCTAAACATTAAACCCCAAACTATATAGGGTTTAGGGCCTAGAGCCTGAGGTATACCCTCCTCTGCTTTCCTTCCGGGGCCGCGAGGCGGTGTACCAGATCTCAGGCCCATGGTTCTCGAGCCCAAATGAGTAGTATTTTATTTGGGAATACTATAGTACCCAATATGGAGTAAGATTCTATCCTCCTTTTGGGGTATAGTATTTTACATAAGGAATATTATCCTACTAGGTTCAACCACAAGAAAAACCCTACTCAAATGAGCTACTGTCTCAACTCCTTAAAGGGGGGGTATATAGGGGATTATATAGGGGACTATTATAGGGGATACTAAGGGGTATACTAGGAGTTTAGACCATAGCTCAAATGTGGACTACAAAATAATTCCAATCATGAAATCAGTATTATCATTCTTAGTGTTGTTATTATGAGTTCTTCATTATTTTCAAGTATTGCTATTGTTGTAGTTATTAGTAGTACGACTATTAGTACCAATATGACAATTATTTAGGGATCAGGGTTTAGAATTTAGGGTTCAGCATTTTGTGTTAAGTGTTTGGGGCTTAGGATTCGAGTCTGCAGAAAGGATTTAGGTTTAATGGTTGAGGGTCTAGGGCTTAGCGCCTATGTTTAGGGGTTCGAAGTGTAGGGCATAGCTCAGCAGTTGAGGATTCAGCAACTGGTACAAGCCCTAAACCCTAAACCCCTAAATCCGAAACCCTAAACTTCAACAAGCCAGGGTTTGGAGCAGCCTGTCTGCGGGCTCGTAAGATGTCGTAAGAGTTGCTGCCTGGAATTCTATGGGTTGGG